GCGGGTTGCGGGTGGGACGACGACAACAAACAACAACAAACAACAACAAACAACAACAACAAACAACAACAACGAGAATCCGCACCGCGGGATTCCATTTCAGCCACGCACCCAGGGACAGTGAATGACCGTTCGGCCCCCTCACTCTGACGAGTATTACATGTTTCCATAATCGCAATATTCATACTCCCAGTATTACGCGTCCACAACCTTCATATCAATCATACTACTCACAACAAATGTTTGTATGGTTGTGTGTATGCGTGTATATATATGTATGTATGCATGTATGTTTGTATGTATGTATGTTTGTATGTATGTACGTATGTGTGTCTGTATGTGTGTATCAGTGCATGTGTGTATGTATGTATGTATGTATGTATGTATGTATGTATGTATGTATGTATGTGCACATATATACATACATATACATATATATATATATATATATATGGCCAAAACCAGTGATGCTGGGATCATGGGGCCTCCCCAAGTGTCATGCCCCCCTTTCAACACGTCCTTTGGCCTCCTTCCCTTCGTCCGCGCACATGCCTCTGGCCATGATTTGCGCCGACCCCAGCAGACATGTAGCGTGTAACGTTATTGTTGCAAATGCATGTTGCACAATTTGGAGCGCGTTGCGATTTCATTGTGGCGTTTGGCTCCAGGCGCCGCTTGCGACGAACAGGATCTGTCACCATCCTCGGACATGGATTCTTCATGCTAGCTGAGACCTCCGCTTCATCGGGCCGTGGCTTTGAGCTTGTCCCTGAGCGTGGAGGGCTTCAGCTATATCCTTCGCGCTGGGAGTGATTTATACGGTGGGCGCACAGGCGTGCGCAGCAGAAGAGGAACTTGTGACCGCCGGACAGTTCCTGAAGGAGTGCAATAAGGTAGCCGACGATGCCAACGCGGAGTTCAAGCGGGAGTCCAGTGAGAGAAGGTAAGGATGGCGACCGCAGAGCAGGTGATGGAGCAGATCAATCAGCTGATCCAGGGACAGAGACAGTTGGCCATTCAGGTGCAGTCCTTGGAAGCGGAGAATACGAAATCTTCCAGATTTGGTTCAGGCCTTTTGTAAGACCGTTGTCGGGACTCGAAGCTCACATTTCATACCAGGGCCAGTGGACAATCGTGGAATGGGGGAACCGATTGGCTGCAGCGGAGACCCGACCAGATTTCGAGAGTGGAGCCATGAATTTGAATATTTTGTTGTGTCTGTATACGGAGATCGTTTTTGTGAAGTCTTGGAATGGGCGGTGGGGCGCCCAGAGGCAATTACTTTGGAGGCGATCGAAGTGGCTTCCAGAGAGGATTTGACAGATCACGTCGAAAACATTGCCAGCATGAGCTCCCAGATGATTGGAGCTTTGCAACGGCTGTGCAGTGGATAACCTTTCGGATATCGTGAGCAATGACAATTCAAACCACGGGCTCGATTGCTGGAGGAAGCTCTTTTTTTTCCGCAGATACGATTCAGCCACAGGTAGCCGCAAAAGGGCCATGCTCAGGATAGTCCTGAACCAGGCCGAGCTGGAGTCGACGAGTTGGGATCGGCACTTGAGCGATTGGAGGAGATGGTAGCAAGTATGAACGATGACGAGGACAAGATGGCGCTCGACTGAAACTACCAGAGGACGTGCGCACGTCGGCGCTGGAACCGCTCCTCCCCGAAGATCCAGCTAAGCGCGCGCACATGAATCAGTCGAGGGTCACGGACAACAATGCGCTAGGGGCCGAGGTAGCACTGTACATCGAGCAGCGGACGGGTGACCAGGTGAAGGATCCACCACAGGCAGGAACTCAGGAGGAGGAGAACGGCGCAGAGGACCAGACGGCATGGACGTTGGGTCGCTTCAGTATCGCGGACCACCCGGCCGTGGCAAAGGATATCAGAAGGGTACAGGGTAAAAGGGAGGTAATGGCGATTCGAAGAGTAAAAAAGGATATGGCGCGGGAACGGTGTTTCTGGAACTGTGGGAAGACTGGACACGAGGCGGATCAGCGCTGGCAAAAGTCCCGACACCAAGGAGAAGACTCGAGAGGATCGAAAGGCGAGTCCAAGGGCAGCAGTGGCGGCAAAGGTAAGAAGGTTAAGAAATTCCAAGAAGGACGCGGGCAAGCCTGAAGGATCTCATCCAAAGCCTGGTAGAATCCGGATCATTGGAGCTGTGTTCGTTCGCGCCTCCAGCGTGCGTGTTCGAAGATGAGGACTGGGTATCGGTCAGTCTCGACTCAGGAGCTGCAGCCGCCGTCGTGCCAAGCTCGTGGTCGAGTCCAGTCGGGGAGTCAATCGGTCAGAGGAGTCGTTCGGCGAATGGCCAGATCATTGAGGATGAGATCATGGGCGATGCCAAAGGCATTGGCGATCAGAAGCACCAAGTCCATTTTCGAGCTCGGAGGGCGGCTGCGACTGAGCCGCTAGCGTCGGCGTCCAAGATGCCGCAGGACAAGCTCGATTGCCTGGACAAGGAGGGCGGCAACGGCTGCGACAGTTTCTCCAACCTCTGAAGCGCGACCGCCCAGATGAAGGCATTCGGCTTGGGCGAGAGAAAGGAGTCTACAACGTGTATCTCAGGGTTGACCCCGGGACGGCCGATACCATGCGTAAGTCATCGAGTTGGTCTCCTGCGCCAGTCTGCACCGTCGAGGGAGAGCTCGCAGCGCGAGCGGCAGACTTGGCAGCTTCAGTGACGGGGGCAGGCGGCAGGTCAACTCGCAAGACCGGCCAAGCCGGCGCCAGTTGCCCCGGCCGCAGGGGAGCTTGTGGCCGAGGCCGCAGGGCCGACGAGGCCAGGCGGATTCCGTCACCACCGCAGGTCCATGGGGAGGCGAGACCACCATGGGGTCAGAGCGCCGAGGTCTCCGATGGCACCTACCCAGAGGGGGGTCGATGAGAACGAGGCGTCCGGGCATGATGTCTTTCTGGCGTGGTGTTCTGCGTGTTGTGATGGTCATTCTTACGGGCAGCCGCGTCGCGTGGTTCTTCGTGGCGCGGAGATTGAGAGCTTGGGTATCCCCATTGATGTCGGGTATCTCAACGGCGCCGAGTCGCATGCGATCCGCGATGTCCAGATGAGAAGGACATGTTCATCGTCCTGTGTTGTCGCAAGACTCGATGTTATGCTGCGATCGCCTTGCCAAATTAGGGCGCGGGGGAGTTCGCTGCGCGGGCGCGCTCGCGCTCCCTGGATGGAGGAAGGGGCGCTTTCATTCAGGAAGGCCCCGTGGACAATTGCGACGGCGAGGAAATCATTTCTGAAGGGTCGCCAGTCGGCGATCGCGCAGCCGACGGCCAAGTCGAGAACGCAGTGAAGATTGTCAAGGCTCAGGTGCGCGCGCCACTGTTGGCACTTCAGTCGAGATGTGGCAAGTGTTTGCCGTTTGGGCGCCCAGTCGCGCCGCTGGCCATCAGGCGCGCAGCTCTGGCGATCCATCGGTTTCGAGATAGAGCTGGCGGCCGCGCAGGAGAGGAGCTTCGCGCAGGTCGAAGGCGGGCGCGCGAGCGTCGCCTATGGCGAGCGCGTCAATGGCAAGGAGCTCGCGATCGAGTGGCGGAAGCGTGTTTGGGGCCCGAGATTTGCGGAGGGTTTCTTCAATGGACATTCTAGTCGGAGCGGGGCGGCGATGTTGATTGCGAAGGGTGGTTTTCAGCGAGCAACTGAACTCATTCGTGGAAATCCCGTGGACAGATGGAAGTGGGGGCCAGATGTTCTTGAAGTTCAGGATTAGCCTTGGACGCGGCAGCGCGGGCGCGGTGAAGAGGCAGCGGCAGCAGCGCCTGCCCTGGCTGGAGTTGCCCAGCCAGCGGTGACGCCTCGCGGGGCGCAAGCGCCGCCTGCGCCACCGCTGCAGGCCCAGGTCCCACTCGCGAAGAACATGTTCGCGGCCTGGCCAAGGTCGGCTGCGCAGCCGGGTGTCAGCACTGTGAGGAGCTACGTGTACGTGCGCGACGTGGAGCTGCAGGACTTCGCCATGCTCCTGCGCGCAGGGATCTCGTGCTGGATGGCATTGTGAACGTCGGCGATGCGAGGGCCTTTTACTGTCCGAGCAGGAAGGCCAGGCGGGCCCGAGAAGCGGGGCCAACAGCTGCTGCTGCCGCGCCGTCTTCTGGAGCATCCGATGGACCTGCCGGCGCCGCCGCGGGGCCAGGGGGGAAGGGGGGGCAGCGATTGCTCCTCTGGCTGTCCTGGTCATGGAGAGTAGCCGTGCTCAGGCGGTTACTCGGGCAGCTGATGGCGCGCCTCGCCAGGCGGCTCCACGAGCTAGCGACGGGGGGCCACCGCCGAAGTTCCCAGCGACGACGGCTGCGCCGAGTTCATCGCCCTGAGTTCGACCTCGCGAGGGTCCAGGAGCAGGAGGAGCTCGAGGCAGCGATGCTATGGTTCGAGCTGCTTTGGGGGGTGTTCAGACGAGCGCGGAACCGGCCCCTTCGGCAACCCCAGCGGCCGCTTCGGCAAGCGTGAGTGGTGAACATCAGTGGATGGAGGTCGAGGACGATGTGCCGCTGGAGCTTTAGTCTCTGGCCATCAGTGAGTTGTTCAATCCAGGATGTTTCGTCGAATTGGTGCCGCCTGGGCTGCTACCTGGGTCGGCGGCCGACGTCGCGCTCGCGAATGGGGGCGGCAAGCCGTGCGACGTGAGCATCGAGAGCAACCGGCTCATGTTCGAGCGCCGCGTGGATTTTGAGGATCCTTATCTGTCGTGCGTTGCTCCTCCGCGCGAGACGTCCGCGAGGCTGCAGGCCCTGGGCGAGGGGGCGCAGGGGCGAGGAGGAGCGCCGGAGACAGGTTCGGGTTCGGGTCAACGCCGAGCTGCTACGTTGCGGCATCCAGCAGTGCCGAAAGAGGCGCGAGAGGAAGCGCTAGCTCTTGCGCGAACATCCACGGGCGACAAGTTCGCACTTGGGGCTCGATGGCTGAGGGCGAAAAAGGCGAGCTAGAGCGCGCGATGAAAGCGACGGGTGAGATGGCCAAAGTTCGCAAGCTAGAAGTCGCAGGTGCAAAGGTAAGCATGACCTTGCGCGACTCGCGGGACAGAGCAAGGTCATGGGCGCTAGGTCGTGCACGATGAAACTCAAGAGGGCAGCCCATAAATTTCCGAGGAGGAGCTCGATCGGATAGGCGAGATCAACGGCGCGACCCAGGCAGGCCCCGTCCAGGGCGAAGAGGCAGAGTTCTGGATGCCCGATGCGCCGCTGACGGCGTGGCGGAGAACGGGTTCTGGGGCGACGTCGACTGATGTGGGCTAGAACTTTGATTGGTGCGTGAAGCGCGACAGGTGGAGATGAATTGGGCGGCTCGGCGGTCGGTCCACCCTTTTTGCGACGAGTCCGAGTGCTATGAGGCGACGGGGAAGGGGCCGGTCAACAGGAGCTGGGTCGACGCGAACAATGGGGCTCACGTTCGAGTTCGATATAGGTCGAGGCCAGCGGCAAAATATGCGAACAGGGCCAAGAGACCCGGTGAGCAGTTTAGTGCCAGTGAACTGTTTAGCGGGACCCCCCCACTCGAGGCGATCAGACTTTTGGTCAGTCTCGTGGTTTCAATGAAGTTTTCGAGCTGGGGCTCACCGTTGAAACCTGGCTTCTGGGATTTTGCGCGGGCCCGCGTGCGTGGAGAGGCCCAGAGAGATGTCACCATGCGCCCATTCTCGCAGGAGGGCGAGTCTGCTGGCAAGCGCGCATTTAATGCGTTCGTTGCATGGAACCCAGGATGCATCTCTCACACGCCGTGGAGATGATATAACGCACTTGACCGGCGAAGGTGGGCGACTGGGCGTGGCCTCGTCCGCGCCCGCGCGTAGAGAGAGAGAGCGATGGCGGTCAGGGGGCTGTGCGCGGCGATGATTTTATTGTCCTGGGGGGCGATGTAACTTTAAGTGAAGTAGGTCGTTGTCTAGGACCCAGGCGCGACATGAGGTGCGCGGGGGTCCCGGGGCCAGGTCCAGACGATCGAAAAGAGGTCGTCTTGTTGAATCGAGTCTTCCGTTGCAATGTCTCCTCCGCGGCGGTCGGGATCGAGGGTGGCCCGCGTCGCGTGGACATCGCTCTTCGCGATTTCGGTTTTGACCTTCCAGGAGTGAAAGCTCTGGGGGTCACGCTTGCCAGCTATCGCTGCGCGAGGCTAAGAGCCGCGAGTCGCTGCATGCCAGATGCGTTGTGGGGATTCGTTCGCGCAGTTCTTTGGTGATGCGTGCAGCGCACTTGAGTCCGAAATAGCCGAGGCGACTAGTACTTTGTGCAGGCATATGAAGTCTTCTAATGCTGCCAGCCGGGCCGACATGAAACGTCTGGGAAGGTATTCTGTGTCTCGCCGTTGTCTCGTCAGTCGCTTCGAGTCAGCGCTTGCCTACGGAAGTGGTTGTAATCGTAGATAGCGATCATGCAGGTTGCCTGGTGACTCGCAAGTCACCGCGCGCTGAGGGCCGGGAGCTCTCTCCATAACACAATCAGCTCGAACGGCGGGGAGAGTGAGTTCTATGTAATTGTGAATGGTGGTTGCGACATATTCCTTGTTCTGGCTATCGCTCCGGGTCTTGGGACTTCTTTCTGGATCAGTGTGCGAGGCCTAGATGAGTTCCCGATGTTTTTTGGCTTCGGATTCGAGTGCTGCTCGTGCGTCTGCTCAGCGCAAGGGCTCGCAAGCAGAAGCACGTGCAGAGTCGGTTCGTTTGGGTCCAGAATGCAGTTTTAAAGCGTCGGGTTCAAGTGAGTATAATGGCCATTCGTCATAATCGAAGTGGCATGCTGACGAAGTGCGTGCCAGCACGCGTTTCGCCCAAGCATTTGACAAGCAAGGCTTTCGGATTTCGTGATTCCTGGAGCAAGCTACACAGAAAGCTGACCTGATGAGTCGGTGTTCAGTCTGCGCTTTAGGAGGAGTGCAGAGATGCAGCGTGGAGTTTTACTGTTGTAAATGCATGTTGCAGAATGTTGAGCGCATTGCGATTTCAGTGTGACGTTCGGCTCCAGGTACCAATTGCGACGGAAAGGATATATCACCATCCACATACATTATTCCCCCCTTCCTTGGACGCGATTTCTCTCGTACCGCGGGGAGCACGCCTGGACTGTGTATAGAGTACATGCGTCGGGGCCCTCCCAGGGGCCTGCCGGAGGCCTTCCCCGCTCCGTGGATCTCGCGCTCGCGAGCCACGTCCACGGCTCCCCGATCCATGCCAGCGCGCGCCCGCCAGAGGTGTCGCTCTCTGGTCTCGGGGCCTTCCCCGACGGCGCCATCATCGAGGTCGGCGCCTCAGGGAGGCCGCTGGTGCAGCTGACCAGGGGCGGCGCGCGGGACGTGCGCCGCCTGGAGCTGGCCACGGACACCGCTCGATTGGAGGTTGGAGGAGGATAGGCTCGAGGTTGGAGGTTCGAAGATCGGGGTTCGCTCGCGGGAGGTTTTTGCTTGCCCTGGGGCGCCGTCGTGGCCACGGCTGGATGCGCCTCGAAATTCTGAGCGGAACGCGCATCAGGAGAGGTCCAGGGATCGATGTTTG